CTGACGTCGCTGCACTCCTTGTAGAGTGAGCAGTGACCCCCTGGGGAACCGGCTCCTGGGAAGACTGATACGCCTTAGCAATGCAGGATCTGATCCACCTACCTAGTGTGGGTATTGAGACCCTATGCCCCAATGATGCCTCTTGAAATGAGATAGAGATTCTGAATGCTGGAAATCTGACGTCCTGCTTATGTAGGACTTCAGGGCCTGTCTCACATCAAGCCTGTACCATCGCTTTTCTAATTGTCGAGCAGGGTTCAGACAAAAATTTGGCAAGACCACCTCATGTGCCCTGTGAAACCAAGTCCCTACCTTGGGTGTAAAGGACGGATCTAGTCTAAGCGCCACCCTGTCCTTGTGGAAAGTACACAAGTCCTCTCTAACTGATAGGGCCTGCAACTCCGAAATCCTCCTGGCGGAGGTGATGGCCACCAGGAAGGCCACCTTCATCGTGAGGAATTGCAGTGAGATGGTGCAAATGGGCTCAAAAGGGGGCTTGGTAAGGGCCGAGAGGACCTTTGACAAATCCCATGTAGGGTACCTGTGGACTGTTGGAGGCCTGAGGTTTGTTGCCCCTTTCAAGAACCGCTTTGCCATGGGATGATGGGAAAGGGGATGACCCTCACCCCAGGTCAGGACAGTGGTGAGCGCAGCCACTTGACGTCTGATAGTATTTGGGGCCAAACCTTTATCTAACCCATCCTGGAGGAAATCCAAGACTTGAGGGATGGAAGCCCAGGTAGGGGCGATGCCTTTGGTGGAACAACATGTGCAGGTCACATAGTAAATGGAAGGCCTTCTGGAGGCCTGAATGATATCCACAATCCTGGTGGAGAACATCTCCCATGTCAGAGCCCCCCGCTTAATCGCCAGGCGGTCAGCTGGAGCCATTGTGGATCCGGGTGCTTAGTGTGGCCTCCTCCTGATCCCACTGACCCTGAGCCATATGTTTATCAAGGTGTGCACCCCAGCCCATGAGACTAGCATCCGTGGTAATGGTGATTCTACGGTCTATCCTGAAGTGACACCCCTGCTCTATGGCTGTGGATCTCCACCAGCAGAGGGAGGTTCGGACCTCCCTTGTTAGGGGCACTCTTGATAAGGATGTGCTTGTCCTCCGCTTTTGGAATGGCAGAAGGAACCATTGAAGCTCCCTGGTGTGTAATCTAGCCCAGGGCACAATCGCAATAGTGGACACCATCTTCCCTAGTATTTTTAATAGCATAGCTAATTTAGCCCTGCTCTCACCCATCACCTGTGTCACCAGACTTTGAAGGTTAGACCGACGCGCTTCTTCCTCCAATATCGGCTCTTCACTCTAGAAACTGACACACTAACCAGAGGTAGGAAACCTTGACGCTTCAGCTCATAGTTAAAGCTCCAGAAGGATACTGTCTCTTGGGGCTAGCAAATTAGTAATACAGTGATTTCCATGTGGAAGGTCTGAGTTCTAATCCATTGCATCAACAGACAAAGCTGGCAACTTTTTCTTTTCCTGCTAAAAACAAAACAAAACAAAATTTCTTAGTGTACAATGCTGAGCTTAAAGGACCTGACTTGGGTATATAGCAGATTCCTATGAGATGGATCCAGATAGGTATTGCAAAGTAGTTCTGTTTGTATCTACTTATTTCATTTAAACATGATTAAGTGCAATCCCAGTGATCTCAAATTGTTTAAACATGACAAAATCTGGATTTTGCTTTACGTGCTGGAAAATTCTGCTATATCTGTGAAGCAGTATTAAAAACAGTTCAGTTCATTACCAAGGTGAGACTAGAACTCACAGCCTCCAATTTCTAGCCTGATGCCTTGACCACTACCAGTAAATGGCTCTCAAATCCCTATATAATAGTTAGCAAATAATAATGGCTGTTCTGTTCCCATTTGAATCTTTCCAGCTAGGAGAGATCTAGTACTGTTCTAGGTTAACTGTTCTATTTCTTTAAAAAATCTTACTACAAAGAAATTCTTCCTGCTGTTCAGCTTGAATCACCATTTAATTTTGAGCTCTTAGATCTTAGCCTATTGTAAGGAGAAAGTGTGGTGCAGTATTTAAGATGCCGGTCTAGGAATCAGGATACAGGTTCTGGATCTGTCTTAGGCCTTGGGTCAATCACTCTCTCACCAAAAATAGCATCAGGCTCTTTGAAAACCCAGCTGAAGAACAACCCTCTTGTTGCATTAGTATGCACTAATAATTCACTATGGGAACTAGACAAGCACAGTACGAATAAGCAGAATCTGCAATTAAGCAGACCAAATGCCAAGACTTTGTTCTGCTCTATTTCAACAAGTCAGATTCACCCCCTCTGCATATGCCATCTTTTTAAATGTTGGTAAATCACAATTTTATCTTCCCCTTAGTCTTTTCTTTTGCAAGTTAAATGCCAATAGCATTTGCATTTAAAATATATATATTTAAGCCCTTTATTTCTTTACAAGGTTTATAAATTATTCCAATAGAAGAAAACGCTGAACAGTGTTTAATCCCCTATCTTTATTAATTCAACTTGGAGCTGTTCAAAGTGTTTAATTCACATGGTTTTCAGGTCCAAGGTCAATGAGCAGCCAAGAAGTGTTTGCGGCCTTAGAATCTTGCCTGCTTCAGCAGCATGCAGAGTATTGTAGCAGGAAATTAAATATGTACAATTTTGTCTTAGTGACAGGGGCTGTAAACCATGGTTCATGTACTAACATGATGTGTTTACATTCACAACTTAGGAAATAAATTCACCAGAGTAGTAGTAGTCAGCCACCACTCTGAAGAACAAATATGAGATGTTAAGTCTGTCCTGGAGGAATTTCTACTTTTATCAGCAGAATATCTTAGCCTGAGGGCTGGTATCTCTAACAATTGAGATAGAAGACAGGATTGGCTTCAACCTTGGAGGAACCATTTTCCTAATCTCTAACCATTCAGCATTCAGGATTCCTCTTGCCTTGGGGCTGTGGAGAATAGCCTAGCCTAGCTGATCCATCCCACTTAGATGGATCTAAGTGGTTCAAACAGTTCGCCCACTAGAGCCTGCAGAACTGTAGGGAGATGCCAGAAGGGAAATCTATGAACCACCGGAGGCTGCAGGTTGGAAGCCCCCTTTAGGAAATGCCTGATGAGTGGCTGTTGGGCTAAGGGGGGGAAGGTGACTGCCCCCTAGGACCGTGGATAATGCTGCCTCTTGGCGGCGGAGCGTGCTGTGAGACAGGCCTCTCTGAAGTCTGTCCTGCAAAAACTCTAGGACCTAGGGCAGGGATGTTGATATGGGATTGATGCCAGCAACATCTGGCAAATGCCGACCAAGTCGTATTGTAGATACACGTTGTCAATGGCCTCCTGGAACCCTCAATGATTGAAATAACTCTATCCGAAATGTTGGCCGCCCCCAGGATCCACCTTTCAAGTGCCAGGCAGACAACTGAAGCCACTGGGGCTCCAGATGGAGCAAGACCTTCTGGCACAGGGCGATTTGATCCCAAGCAATCCTCAACAGGGGGGCCACTGTGAAGTGAACAAGGCCCACAAACTTCCTGGGCCAATGTGGACAATAACAATGGCTGTTATAACCAAAGAGCACCTGTTGGAGTTCTGTACCTGTCCTTCGGATTCTGCTGGACTAAGTAAGTTTTTCAAAGCACTTTGCTGCCTGAGACAAAGCATAAAATTGTTTCAATGCTGCCTCCCTTCCCTCCACTCAGATTAACAAGTAGCATCTTTTGTGAGAAAGGACCCTTAGTGATAACCAGTCAGACCAGGGAAGCAACAATATTTTGTTCCTAATGAGACATGAACTCATTAGGAATGGCTCAAGGGAGGTAGCTGCTGCTTTTGTTCTGCCTAAGATTTTTTTAGTCCACTGCATTTGGAAAGAAACAGACTATAGAAGGCTGATCTAGTACAGGCACTTCTATTGCTTTGATAGTCATCAAGCCTTGCGTCATGTATCCAATGAACTGTACATCTTTCAAAAAAAAATATCATCTGATATGAATAACAGGCTTCAAACATCACACTAAATCACTCTATATTAATCATGGTTTTTAATGAGGCTCAAGTGGCTGGGTTCCCACATTGCCAAAAGGCATGGTTTACAGTATTTGAGTCATAAACACCTGGGTTTATCCAGTGTTAGAACTATACAAACCACATTATGGCCTAGAGTGGTGAATCTGACAGCTTTTTCTAGGTTTATTTTCCTGCTCTGGAGTTGAACTAATGGGATATGAGAGACTTGGTTAAATAGAATTCTCAACTTTATTTATGAAACTACTAGGGGAAACTTTAAAAGGGACAGAAAACAATGTTGAATTCTCCCTTTATGTATTGCTTATTTTCCTCCATTCTTCCCTATGAATTGTTCTCAGATAAGTTCCAATAATGGAAATGAAATTTGATTTTAGGGTCTGAAATTATATCACTCTAAAAATACAAATACATGGCAATGCTGAATTTCTTTTGGCTGTAGAACTGAGTAATGCTGATTTGCTTTAGACTGAAATTGCAATCTGCTGCACTTCGCATGATCAGTTATAACCTCAAATAAAAAGTAACTGATGTAACATCTTTGACACCTAAAATAAATCCAGCCTTGTTAAATTTCCTTTGCTCTAATTCTATTACATCAAAATCTCGCTATACAGTACAAGATTTCCCTTATCTTTATTATGAAGTACAAGATAGCCTTTAGTATCATTTTAAAAACTATTTGCAGCTTCTTAAAAACAATTCTGGTATTATTCTACATGCTTGTTCGAAATTCTTTCGAAGACAGGATAATCCGGCATCTTTTTTGTATTCCTGGGCTTGAAAAGATACTGAAATTATGGTACTAGGATATTATGATTATTTTTGTTAAAGAATTATTGAAAAAAAAAATTCCAAAATACATTGCCTATTCACTAGATTATTATTGTGCAAAATACATGGTTGGGAAAACTGCTAGTGATAGAATAGTTAATATAACATGATTAAAGGCTCAATGTCATACTTGCAGCACACCAGATGCACAAACCAGACATTTATTACAGTATGCAATGCACAGTAATAATCCAACCTTCAATTAACAATTCAGTGTATTGCCATGTATACAGAAGACTCTTGAGAAAATCATAATACATTTAATCAATCAAATGGTGCATGTAAAATAATATTTGGAATATTAGCTTGGTGACAATAGTTGATAGATGACTGAATGAGAAACGAAAGGATAGGTCTAGGCTGATATTCACATATTAATAAAGTTTTGTTCCCCCCTCCACTGGCAAGAAAGATCATTGCATCTTAAAACGGTAGATCAGAATTATACGGGCAATCCTCACCAGTAGCAATTAGGGACTGACAATTTTGTTGCTAAGCAGCAAAATAACTGTGACCTCATATGGTCATGCCCTACCTTTATCAGTTTCAGCTGTGGTTATCAAGTGAGGAACTCAAACAATTTGCAACTTCCTGCCACTTTCCCATTGACTTTGCTTGTCAGACACAAGCTGCAAAGGGCGCAAAAGGCAGTTGAAACTGCAGGATGCTACAAACATTGCAAATGTGCATTGACTGGCAAGCTCTTGAATCACAATCATGAGACTTTGGGAGGGTACAACAGTAGCAATTTTAAGGACTGTTTGCAACTCTGTTTTCAATGTCAATGCAAGTTCAAAGTTGCTGAATCAGCAGTCAATAAGCAAGGAATGTTGTATCAGATTTGTTCGTATGTTTCTATTTTCAAAATAATTGATACATTTTCCCAGTTTTTCATAAAAGTTTAATAACAGTACAAAATACAAGAAAAGCCATTTGTTCCACATGTACCAGAGACAGTCACTAATATGCTAACAATTGTCAGCTATGTGCATGAGTACAAGGAGAAAATCTCTGCTTTGACCAGGGTTAAATAGGCTAGTCAAAATATGTCATTCTATAATCCACTTATTCAGATCCACACGTTCCAAAATAAAAGACTAATGAAATGAGGCAGTAAACCAATTCTGTTCACAACATGGCTACTCTTTAAATAAGAAATGGCAAAGATTGCTGTCATATGTTTCAGTATACTTTTTTTACATGTGTACAAAACACAACATACATTTATTTCTGTTTGGAGAAATACTCTTTACTCTGCTTGACATCTGGCTTGATAGTGTCACTTCCAGGTTGCCAACCAGCTGGGCACACTAAAAAAATACATTTTTAAAGTTATTGGATCATCTAAAAAAACCTGAATTGCAGGTTAATAACTAGATCAATACCCCCAACCTTGCAGAAAAGGAGAGTTGCCGTTTACAGTA